AATATACTGAATAATCAAAGCTTGGGTAATTGGAGACCCTTTTGATCCCAATGTTCAGTAAGGTTCGGAGGAGTAACTTTTATCAAAATCAAATGAAAAAATTATAATGGCATACAGAATAGACAAGAGCATCTATTGAAAAATCAATACATGAAAATAAATCGCGCCACTTCAGAGTTGCAAAAGGCATAAGGATACGGTTCATTGTTTCAATGATGAATTTTCAAGGTCGTGAACGCTAATCTCACCATTATTCGTTCAATTTTGGAATAGCCTTCTGACACAAAGAATACAAGCATATCTATGAAAATATTTGACATGAACTCGAAAACTGCAAAAGTTCATATCTGAATCATGGCTTGTAGTAAAATGACTTGCAGTACAGTAGGAAGATAGCATCGATAGAAAGAATTGAGTTTTGAGGCAGTTGAGGGTTAAACTACCAACGCAAATTATTTTGACTCAAGCATAACTTGTATACACATAAACGCATACTTCTGAATGTGAGAGCTTCAGGAGACAAATATGTGAACAAATGGGGGCTACAACACTTGGGGTCTTTACACGATATCAGCAAATTAGAACCAACAATCAGGCTACAACACTTGGGCTAAAACATTCAGTATTCTCGATCCAGAAATCAAAGAATTAATAGGCAGAGCCTGACTAGATATATACTATATATATGAAGGAATAAAAAATGCAAAGGCAGCAAAGCGTCAACTTGAATCTACATATTGCAAAAGCAATCAAGCGAAGAACAAAATGGAAGAAGAAGGGAAGAAGGAAAGCGTGTGCCACTAGCTACTAGAGAAGGCAGGAAGGGAAGAGGGGAATTACAGAGCTGAATAAGAAATGGGAGCAGTGACCTATGTTAAATTTCTAACACATGTGAATTTATAATTTTAAAATAATAATAACAGGCTCAGGCCGCCTGACAAGTCTAACAAGCTTATTGTCAAGTTTGAGCCTGTTTTGATAGCCAAATAGGCCAGGCCACAGGCTTTTGATAAGCCATCTGGCCTATTTTCACCTTAAAGTAAGTTAGCCTCTAATATTGTTAGGGGAACTTTTTGGCGAGAAACTGATATCCTATTTATTCTGATAAATGAATGAATTAATTAATTAAAATATATTATGGAGGTGTGGAGGTTACTGGAATTCGTGATTTAAACTCGTTAAACATGGCTGAATCAAAACTCCCTTCTAGCTCAGAATTGGCTGACAATTGAACTTTTCAGAATTTTCTCGCCAACAGATTTTCCTACGCTTGTTGAGAATTGACGGAGGCCGCTGCGATTTGCTGCGAGACCTTCTTGCCAGACGCTGTGGTTAGAGGCAAAAATTAATATTTAGTTATTTACCATAAAAACTTTTATATTTATAAGTTAAACCCACATATTTATAAATATAATTAATAAAAATATTAGTTTTTATGACCTTCAGTATTGCCTGAGATTCATGATTTTTTTTCAATTTTTTATAAAATATTTTTAATTCTTATTTAATTTAAATTGTTTTAAATTAAATTTAACCATTTGCATTTGATTAGTTACCTTTTTGTAATTTATCATCTTAATAATAAGTTTATAAAAGATTAATTTTGAATCATTTAAATATTGATATAATGGTTATAAAAGGAAGAAGAGAAAAATAAGATGGCAAGGAGAGGGTGGGTTCACTAGCAGTAGCAACAATAAGCATATATATAATACTACTTTCGGTCCTAATTATAAGAGTTAGTTGACTAATTTCAGAAAATTAAGAAAAGAAGTTAAATCATGACTTGTTTGGTTCAATTCCATGAAAGTTTATTGTATATAATTCTGATATAATGAGCTGATTTAATTGTTTGGTTAGGCTTTTGTAATGTAAAAGGAATTACATATTGTAATCCTAGTTACCACAAGTGGATGCATAGGGATTACATAGGCATAGCTAAGACTCATGAATAGGGATGCATACTTCTTGTAATCAAGTGAAAAACATTTTGTTACCCTTTTAATTTTTAAAATTGACTAGATTACCCTTAATGAAAGGCTCATGGACCTTATCAATTGTCACCCACTGTGTTCACATTGCCACCGTCTTCCTCATTAGCCGCCAACAACATCATTGCGCTGGAAAAGTAATCACTCCTTTACTCATTCGTATGGTCTTCTTTGATTTTAATATACATTGCGTTGGAAAGGAAAAAATATATGTATATACATTATATATAGATACAATTCTAGTTATCAAACCAGTAATTTTATAGTTTTTCCTATTATATATATATATAGATAAATTTATATTTTGATATGTTATGCATATGAACGGATAGGGGTAATTTGTCTAGTATTTTTCATTATATGTGGGGTACGGTTATTATACTGTTGGAGGAAAAAATAGACAATTTTAATTATATATATATAAGCATGTAGATAAGGGTAATTTTGTCTTTTGGTATATTATTTTTTACCTATTTCCATGTTTTTTGTAATTCAACCAAACATTTTTACATCTATACATCATCTTTCTTTAACGACGTACCAAACAAGCTTATGTAATGATCATCATATTACATTGCATTACATTTAATAAATATGTGTTATTTTTTCTTAAATATCCTTACTAATCAAGTATATTGACTAAAACTACTATTGTTAGAAAGATTACCTTGAAAAAAAATATATAAATATAAGAGATAAAATAAATTAGAGTTTTATGTTTAAGACTAAAATAAAATTCAAATAAGATTTTATAATAAGAACCGAAGTAGTATTATTCATCAACATTATATTATATACATAACAAAAAAACTCACAAGGCTGGCAAAAAAAAAAACTTACAAGAAGCTGTGCTTTTTATGCTTTTATTAGATAATGTAATCATAAACCTTGAATTTTCTATAGAAAGCTTCGGCCCCAAAAAAAGGACAGTACGTATGATTTTCTTATGCCGCCGATTTCCCGGAGAGGATCTAGTGGGGCCCGCCTTCGGAAGAAGCATCTGAGCACTTCGATTCGTTGAAGGATAGGCGGAGAAAGCGTGAATTATGCTATTCCGGTACATAATATAAAATTCTATTTGATTTTTGTCGATTCGAATATATTTTCTTTTTTATATTTATATATATTTTTTAAAATAATTTTTTTAATAATGATAGTTCTAGCCAATATACTTGATTAGTAAAGATATTTTAGGAAAGATAACACCTATTTAGGACAAATAACTAACCCAACTTACTTTCTTAATCTCTTCAAATTAGTCAACTGGCTTTTATAATTAGGACAGGAGGTAGTATAATACTACTTTCTTTCTTTAATATAAGAGCTAGTTGAGTAGATTAAAAAAAATTAGTTAAGTTAGTTACTTATAATAAATAGGTATTGTTTAACATATTCTTACTGATCACGTGTATTAACTAGAATTATTATTATTACAAGAACTAACTTAAAAAAATAAATAAATATGAGAGATAAAGTTAATTGAGATATTATATATAAAATCAAAATAAAAGTTAAATAATATACTCCTTTGGTTCTAAATATAAAACCTTTATGCTAGTGCGTATAAGAGTTTTATATTTAGGACCGAAAGAGTATTATATTAAGATCTGGAGTTAGTGTTATAATCATAATATTATTAAAATCAAAATGCCACGGAAGCATATTGATGTGGGTCCAAGGGGAATCAGAAACCCCAGCGTAGGCCATATTAGGAAAGCAGGAAACAGAGCCTGTCAGAGCATCGGGTGTGTTTCACTCTTTCTTGGGCCCCAAGTGTTAATGGATTTTCGTTAATTTTTTTATTATATCATTCAATTAATAAATAATATGTTTGATATTTTTTAATATTATTGATCTCACAGAATTTCAGCAACTTTAATTTTGAAAATTTTGATATATTTTAATTTTAATGCTTATATTGAAGTATTAATTTCTTTTAGGGTTAATAAATAATGAAGTATAGGGACTAATATTTTAAATAAAAAAAATTTGAGGGACCAAAACTTGTGATTTGAAATTTAAGGGACCAAAACTAAAATAAATGTAAGTTTGAGAAACCAAAATTTATGATACTTTAAATGAAAAGAAATTTGAAGAGCTAAAATCTATAATTTGAAATTTGAGAAATCTAAATCAAAATGAAAATAAGTTTAAGGGACTAAAGTTTATATTAATTTTTTTTTTAGTAACACATTTCTTGGTACCTTGGGACTGAAGAGGTAGTCGGGCAGCATTTTTAACAAAATAATAATAGCGATATTACCAAAAAAAATAATAGCGATTTTCATTTTAAAACTTTTTCCATTTTTTATTCAAAATTTAGAAACCTTGCAACTAAATGCAAACAGAAATTAAATAATTTCACTAATGTACTGTTTGGTATGGGCAAAATAGAAGGGAAGACAAATTTTAATGAGATATACTTAAAAAATTTTAAAAATGGAGTTTTAAAATTTTGATAAAAAAGAAGTAATATAAAAAATAATAAAAATTAATTAAAAAATTTTAATATCACCTTTTCAATCTTTTAAATTAAACTTATTAAAATTTCTTCCCCCCTTCCCCTCCCTTTCATTTCCCTTGTAACAAACTTATGTCAAATGAGGATTAAATAATTGGTTTGGCTGAAAACACCATTTTAAAAATCAAATAAATATATTTTACAGCAAAATATGCTAGCGATTGATAAAATCTCATTCTATCAGTCCAATATCCTGAATCTTTGACTTCCCCCATTCTCTGCTTCGTTGGACGTTTTCGCTAATTAATTCCTTCTCCCTCCCTTCCCCTATGCCTATGGTGCTCCCTCTCATGCTGAGTTCTTTCACTTTTCTTCTCTCTTTGTACTGTTCTTCATTCTCCTCTCTCAATCTTTCGAATCGCCTCGCCGATAAGATCTCTGAGATTGAGCAGCCGGCTGGGTTGGTTTGGCTATTCCTTTCTATTGAGTTCGGTGCGGGAATCGACATTCAACTCCCTTCCTTCAGGCTAGTTCAGCTCCTGATGAGAAACCGCCCCAAAGCATCGCAGTAGACGCAAGCACACGTTCATATTTAGTTTTCAGAAGTCGGGTGCTCTACGTAAGTCGGCCATTGCTCAATACGTTCAATGCTAAGGACATATCAAAGTCATATCAAAATATTCAGTGATCTAGTATTGCTATCGCTAACCAGGAAATCGCCAAGCAACTCGATTAGGGTAGACACTAGGCAGCGTGCATTCTTCTCTCGGCTTTAGAACAGTAATCGGGGAAATTATTCTTTATTCTTTCTTTGCCAAAGCCAGGCCCACTGTTATAATGCATGATGAAACCTCTTGGTCTTTTTCATCTGAGGAGTGGTTTTTCTTGCTCTTTTCAGTTGCAGGAGGTCCTCAAGGGTGATCGGAACCCTTAAATCTTGCTTTCGGGAATCACCGGCACTTTTTTACCCCCTTCTTAGACTTTTTTTTTTTTACCAGCCCTTCTTCTTAGACTTGCTTCCATAGAAACCTGCTAATAGTAATATAATTTGTTTTTAATTCACTATCATATCACATAAAGTTTTAAATTTTTGTAATTAAAAATAAAAAATTCATATTTTTAAAAATTGTCTAAATCAATTGTTAATAATAGAAATAGACTGGTTTAGTTTTTGGAAAATAATCTTGATTTAAGGGATTTGGACTTGTATATAATGTCATGAGTACTTTTTCTTTGCTCAGAACCAGTCTTCAATGGCGGTTGAGGAATTGGAGTCCACTGGGTGCAGAAAGCGCAAACGAGGTTATGGAAGAAGAAAACTCGTCGTCAACGACAGAGTGGAGGTAATGTCACAGTTCTGAGTTTGTTTATCCTGCTTTAAACAATTTTCCCCCTAAATTTAAAGATACAAAATTTTCTTTTTTTGGGTTTAAAAATCCAGGGCCTCTGCTTTCATTGTGAATTTTGATTTATAGTTTCTTTTATCAATTGTTTTTATGCTTTTCGATGATACGTTTTTTCATTGAGCTTTTGCCGTAGTTGTCACATTCTCTTTGCCTTCATTGCTCCCCGATACCTGGTTTCGTTATTAAGTTGTAAAGTGTAAACGTTTCGTTGCGTGTTCGCTTTGGCAGTAACGCGAGGTCGCGAGTTATTCTCTCTCTTTTTTCCTTTTTATTTTGTTTTTTTTTGGGGGACCAAGCAGTCGTGCAACTTTTTGATTTGTTGTTGTTACACTTCGTCTCGTCTCGTCCCACGACAGTGGGGTCATTAGAGTGCTGTTCGCAAGTACCGATATTTTCCCACTTTACCAATTGGTTTATTTTAATAACAATAATAATTAAAAAAAAGACTATCAGTGCGGCTACTCTTCATTCGAAATTACCGGTTGTGCTAAGAAAATTTTGAAACTTTTCAGGTGAGGAGTATGGAAGATGGCTTTTTGGGTTCATGGCACCCAGGGACTGTTATCCATTGTGGGAAGCAGAAACGTCATGTAAAATATGACAATGTTTTAGTTGATAATGGGTCAAAATATCTTGTCGATATAGTGGATGTTCCAGCTATTTTGGATGGCGCCAGTTCCACAAGTTACAAAGAACGTGGATTCATTAGACCAGTACCACATTTGAAGGAGTTTGGGAACTATGATCTTCCGTTTGGTCTATGTGTTGATGTGAACTACCAAGAAGCTTGGTGGGAAGGTGTTATTTTTGATCAATCTGATGGGAGGGAGAAGAGATCCATATTTTTCCCAGATTTGGGTGATGAAATGAAGTTCGAAATTGGTCATTTGCGTATTACTCATGACTGGAATGAAGTTACAGAGGAATGGGAGAGACGGGGCATGTGGGTATTTCTTGAATTGATTGAAGAGTGTGAACAGGATACTTATGTTACAGTTTCAATAAAGCAAATCTGGTATGATGTGCGTGCCAAAGAAGATTTCAGTAAGATTAAAGACTGGACTTGTAATGTGAAAGACTTGTGGAGGGGTCCGGTGCTTGAGGTAATTAATGACTACTTTGCACTTACAATGACAGAAATTTTCAGAGTCCTGGATCTTTCAAAAGATCTCTTGACAGAAGCAACGGAACAAGAGTCCGGTGAACCTACTGCTGATATTCACTTTAGTCCGGAAAGAAATTCAGACAACTTTTATTCTGTTTCGAGTCCTGATAATCATCAGTTAACTAGCAAATCAAATGTTCATTATGATGCTGGTCCCAGGAATGCATTTGTCCATGACATAAGTTTGGCCGAGAACCATTTGGAAAAAGGTGACTTGTCAAACTTCTTGGATGCTGATCAAAACAGTGGTAGCATCATTCTTAACCAGAAGAAATATGATTTGGTGACCTTGGGGGACCGGGTGTCAAATACACCTGTGGTGGCAGACTCAGACGTGTCCTTTCCCGAGAAGGAAGGATTGGTGCAAAAGGAATCTATGTCACCAGAAGCCGAAGGAATTTCTGGGCAGGATGCTGGTACTGCAGGTGAAGTAAATTATGGAGCTGGTTGTTATAAAAGAAAAAGACAAGGCGGATTATCAACTCGCAGAAGTTTTACTGAGTGGAAACCTCTGATACTTTCTGAAGTTGAACTCTACCCTGATTCTGTTCATCAATATGCACTCGCATCTGATAGGAAGATCAGGGAACAACTGAAGACAAATGTCAGAAAACATATTGCATACCTTGGATGGAAAATTGAGTGGATGCAACATAAAGGAGGTACGCAACAAAAGCAATATAGGTACACCTCACCTGAGATAGGGGGAAAACAGGTTGTTTACATGTCACTTCGTGAAGTTTGCAAACATATTGAAAAGGACACCAATATGAACTCTTTGCTATCCCAAGATGATCAGAGAAGGACGAATCCTACAATTGACAATAATATTTCACATCCTACAATTTTGCCACCTTCTGTTGAAGACATAGTTGATCCTGAAATTTGCCCTGAAGCTGTTTTGAGATATTACTTGCTCCCATTAAAGAGGGGCCTCAGTGGTGTTAAAAATTTGATGATACGAAAGGTAAGAAAACAACTCTTAACTGAAGGATGGACCTTTGAGAATCCAACCATAAAAGGAAAGGGAATGATTTACATCTCACCACAAAATCAGCGTTTCGATTCACTTCGAGTAGCATGCAGAGAATATATTAAAGAATGTCTTCCTAAGTGGATTAGTTCTGGAATGATACCCCTGGATGTTTCGAGCATAAATGAAGAGAACACTGGCCTGGTTGCTAGTAATAAATTATTGTGTTGTGTGTCCCAATTGCTTCAAAAGGAGCCTGAATTGTATTATGTAACCAGTGAACCATCAAGCAGGTCAATTGGGCAATGCAAGTCAAAACCCTTAAGGAAGCAAAAGTCCCAAGATAATCAGAGAACTATGTATTCTACAATTGGCAGTAGTATCTCGCTTCCCGCAATTTTGCCACCTCCTTCTGTTGAAGATGCAATTGAACCTGAATTTTGTCCTAAAGCTGTTTTGAGATATTACTTGTATTCATCTGAGAAGTGCCCCAAGGATGTTAAAAAATGTATGATACTAAAGGCAAGAAGACACCTGTCATCAGAAGGATGGAATTTTGAGCATCCAACCATAAGGGGAAGAGGAATGATCTACATTTCACCACAAAGTCAGCGTTTTGGCTCACTCCGAGTAGCATGTGAAGCATGTATTAAAAAATGTCTTCCTGAGTGGATTAAGTCTGGAATGATGCCTCTAGATGACTTGGGCATTAATGAACAGAATATGAGTAAGGTTGACAGTGACGAACTATTGGACTATGTGTCCCATTTGCTTCAAAAGGAGCCTGAATTTTCTGATTTAAAAGGGGTACCAGAAAGCAGATCAAGCAGGCATTGCAAGCTCAAACCCTCCAGGAATCTAAGGTCCAGGCCACCTAATCTCCAGAGAAAAGAATTACCTATTCGGTTACAAAGATCAAGCAAAAGGGTGCAGAAGGTGAACGCTCCTTGTTCATCACACCTGAAAGCTCAAAATGTCCTGTCCTGGTTAATAGACTGCAATGTGTTGTTACCAAGGTCTAAGGTCCATTACCGGGCAAGAGCCACAGGTCATCCTATGGCTGAGGGGCGAATAACTCGTGATGGAATCAAGTGTAGTTGTTGTCAGAAGCTATATAGTCTTGGTGGCTTTGAAGGCCATGCAACTGGTCGTCGTAATTGCAGGTCAGCAGCTGCTAATATTGTTTTGGAAAATGGCAAGTCACTCCGAGATTTCCAGATGCAGTTAATGAATGAGCGTAGGACCAGAGGAACTACAAAAACACCATCAAAAAGCGTGCATCAAGAAGAGAATGACGGCATTTGTTCTGTTTGTCACTATGGCGGTGAACTAATATTGTGCGATAATTGCCCATCTTCATTTCATAAAAGCTGCATAGTTTTGGAGGTAGATTATTTATTTATTGTAAAATAGTTCAGTTTAGTACTTACATGGTAATGAAGTAATCTTGGGCCTTAGTTTTTCATTGAACTGCTTTCTTTTTGCTTATCCAGGATATCCCTGAAGGTGACTGGTTTTGCCCATCATGCTGTTGTGGAATTTGCCGCCAACGTAAAACTGAAGGGGCTGATGATGAAAAACTTTTGACTTGCAGCCAGTGTGAACATAAGTGTAAGATAATATAGCATTTACACTTCAATTTACATGCAGGTCGTGATTTCTTTGTATGTCTATATTTATGCACATATAAAATCAACATGGTAATATTTATGATCTCATTCTTGTTATCATGAAGATCATGCTAAGTGCTTGGGTAAAAGGTCCGTAACAATGTCAGGAAGATATCTGAAGAATTGGTTTTGTGGAAAAAGCTGTGAAAAGGTATTACAACTCTGCTTCCTTTTAGACAGATTGGGTGTTCTCCTTTACCAGAACAAAGTTAAATCTTTTTCAAATTACTTCTGCATTTGTGATTCTCTTGGACAGTTTCACATGATACATACTTAGCATGTGTTTGGATGATCATTGATTGTTACCTTTTGGAAAAATTATTTATAAAGGATGACTTTGATGTTTAAGAATGTTCATACAGAAATCGTTTTTAGCATTTTGTTTGGGGAGTATGCTACTTATAAGTTCATTCAGGCGTCTAATTGAAAAAAGCATTAAAAAACTCCTCAAAATATGTTTATGTAAACAGTTAGGACATACTTGTAAAATCACATGGAATGGGCTGGATATATATAAATATATATATATATATATATATATATATATATATATTGGCGCAAACAAATGAAGCAGCACTAGTGAAAAGTTATTTTGGTCATAACAGTTGTTGATATTATTTGAGGAAGCAAAATTAGTTTAACCCTTAACAGAGAATGCTTCATCACTGGTTCCATGTATAATATCTATAACGGGGCAACAGATTTTTGCCTTCCGGCAATCCAAAGACACTCCTAATGCATGCTAGTTTCTGAATTAACTCCTTATTTGCTTCCAATTTTTATTTTATGATGCCCCCTTTTATTAATGGTACTCATGAGAGCTAAGAACTGATACAAGATTTTGGTAAAGAGTAAATCTTATTATTAAATATAAGTGACAATAAGATAATGGAAGCTTAATATCAGATAAGTATTATAGAATATAGAGCGTGCTCTTGCTTTTATACACTAGAAAGCTTTAAGGATCCTAATTTTGCTCAACATTCTTTTATGTTTTTTTCAGATATATGCAGGCCTTCAAAGGCTATTAGGAGAACCTGTTGCAGTGGATGCGAAGAATTTAAACTGGACATTGCTGAAGTGGGTTGACTCTGAGAATTATGGTTTTGGGAATGGTAGAAATGACCTAGAGGTAGAGAGTTACAGCAAACTCAATGTGGCTCTTTCAGTGATGCATGAATGTTTTGAGCCCTTGAAGGAATCTTATTCAGGCAGGGATCTCATGGAAGACGTTATTTTTAGCAGATGGTCAGGAAATCTAATTCTTTGAATTGTTTCTATTTTAGTTTTTGAAACCTTGGTGCATTATGTTTGTGTCGTGATTCATGCTTGTAACATCATGTGTTGTGATTCACCAGATCATAGTTTTTTTTTTTTTTGTTAAAAAAAAAATTGTTATTAGTCTAAACGGATAGATTCTTTATGCTTAGGGACTTTGGCCTGAACATAAAATTAATAACATTAGATGAGATTCTTTATTATCATTAATCTGCATTTCATTGTATTCTGATAAGCTATGTCCCCACACTGTTACTTTACCATAATCCTTGGTAATGTCAAAGCGATTAGAACCATGAAGAATCAATTCTTTGCTCTCCTTCCCTTCCCTCAATTTTTAATGATGTCCATTTTTGGCCTTTTCTATTAGTATACACCGGTAGTACTCAGCTCTCTCATTGCAAAAGACCGAGTGTGTTTCTATAAGTGCTAGTCTTGCACATTTATGTTAATGCAAGATTTCTGGATTGATTGATATTGGAGGATAGACAAGTTTGTTGGTGACATCTATTACCTTACACAGAGATTATTATATTTCTTTAATTTGTTTACATTGACGTAATGTTCTTTGGTGTAATGCTTGATTTCTGTTTCTTCAAAACCTTGTAGGTCAAAGCTTAATCGATTGAACTTCCAAGGTTTCTATACCGTACTTCTGGAGAGAAATGAAGAAGTGATAACTGTAGCAACTGTTAGGTAAGCTTAGGATCTGCTATCCTAAAGTGGTAGGCTTTGTGAGATCATATATTCTATTTGAGCTGTAAATTTCAATTTCTTTTCTTTATTTTGGCCAATGAATTTCAAATTCTTTTTCCTGTTTTGTCCAATTGATTAACTATTTCCATTTCCAGGATCTATGGAGAGAAGGTAGCAGAAGTACCTCTTGTGGGTACCAGATTTCAGTATCGTCGCCTTGGAATGTGTCGCATTTTAATGGATGAGCTTGAAAAGGTGATATTTATATAATTTTACCCAGTTAGTTTATCAAATAATCTGACGCAGCGTGCAGTAGAATCTTGCTAAATAGCAATGAATGATATTAAAAGGGGTTCTTCAGTTATGATGTTGACTACAACGGTGAAACGAAGTGAAAAAAATTATTATTAGTTAGTTATAAATAAAAATGAAGTTCTGCAGATTCAATTATTTCCTTAAAATTTTGTACGAGGCTTCTTACTTCATTTTCCCATCAGAGGCTCATGCAACTAGGGGTGGAGAGGATAGTTTTGCCTGCTGTTCCAAGTGTGCTAGAAACGTGGACTACTTCTTTTGGCTTTGCAAAGATGACAAATGCTGAGAGATCACAGTTTCTGGACTGCACTTTTCTTGACTTTCAAGACACCGTCATGTGCCAGAAGCTTTTGATCAAGAATCGTCCAGCTTCAGTTTTGTCAACAGGTTTGTATTATATAGTCATCCTGTTAGTCACTTGTTAATTGAGAAAGATAGGTAATCAAGTTCTTTTGTTAGCTGAATCACAAGTTCTGTCACATTGCAGTGAACCAAACAAAAGCACATGATGGTTTATCTGTAAGGGGTGGTACTGTTTTTTATCAGCGGAGTCCAGTATCTGAAGCATATCAAGCAGAAGAGATTGACACAAATGAGACGCTGGATCTACAAATGGTGGTAATTTGTTAAATGTAGAAGGTTCAGATTAGATCATTTTAGATGCAGTTTTCTAACTGGTTCAACCCATTGGTGCATAGGCAAAACTGGCAAATTCTGAGGGCAAACAATTGCAGAACGGAAGCATTGCAGAATGCTTACTTGAAGATGGCCGCTTAAAACATGTTTCCATCAATAATGCTCCATGTAAGTACTACAAGCGAAGGAAAATCAGCATGAAAAGATGAGAACTCTCACTTAAAAGGTGGCCATTGAAATCTCTGAGCCATCTGGGTCGAGCTGTGGAAATTGTACTGAAGAGGTCTGAACTAGGCGTCATCAATAATTTTTTTGTACAAAGTTGTGTATATTTACCAGCTCAAAGCCATTTAATCCTTGTTTTGGTGTATCAGGATCTCATTTTATGTAATCTAACCCACGAATGTAACCTCATTTATGTCATCTAAGGTAGAGAAGGTTGTGGTGGTTTTTTTTTTTTTTGGGAGTGAAAAAGGAGCTTTATTGAATCAAGTAATTACAAAGGCAGCATAAAAATAAGCAAAGAGAGAGCAGACTAGCTTAGGTGCAAAGACAGGGATAAACTCCTAACATGCAAGAAGGTTGAAGTGGTTTTTTGCCTCGTTTTGTTTCATTTTGTTCAATAATTATATGAAATGTCACTTGCATTGGTATCACTCTCTTATTTGTGTAAAACTACGCTGCCCAAAACCGAAAGCTGCGGGGTTGCAACTTTAATTAGGTTCATTGTTATCTGATCGAGTGAGATAAGGCTTTATAGTTGTTGTTGTTTTGCTCATTATTCAGATTTCTCTAGCAAACATGAGATTTGGCCATTATATTTTATAATTATATGTATTATTATTTTTTTGAAAAATGAGAGAATAAATAAATATACATCCTTTTTTCTATGGGTGATGCTCCTGAAACTTTTGGAATATATTCTTTTTTATGTTATTTGAGTATGTTATCTTTCATTGACAAAAAAAAAATGTTATCTTTGGTCTTCTTCACATATGAATACTTACACAGGTATTCTTCCCTTATTTTTTCTGAAAGAGTTCACTTTTGTTATAAAAATAGAAATAATAAAATAAATTTAGCTTATGACTTATGAAGTATTAACAAACATATATTATAAAAATATCTACATTATATTTTTTTAAATAAAAAAAGGTGAAAAATATGAATACTGAGTTATAAATTTTTTAAATTATCAAGATTATAAAAAATTACAGGGAAAAATCAAAACTTCCGAAAATATAAAAGATTATGGGAACCGAAGATCCTCCCTGATTATAGGAATTGACAAATATTGTTGCAGCTTATAATTAAGAAGCAAACGGCATAAGATTTGTTTTTGCTATAACATTACAATAAATATGTTAGAAATATAGTTTTGTTTTCAAATATACTCTTATAATAAATTAGAAAAATGATAAAAAAGAATGTATGAAAAAATATGACAAAATGGTGTGGCAAAGGAGAGAAAATTAATAATTAAAGACAAAAATGAAAAAATGTATTAAATATTTAGACAAACCCCAAATTGAAACTTATAAAATGGACTATATCCTTTTTCAAATTTGAAACTAACATATAGGATAAGAGAGAGTATATGGAACAGAACACTATTAAAACTACTAGTATGAAAGAAAGAAACAGAATATTTCTTCAAATAATATTTGTTTTTTTATACTAAAGAGGGCATAGCCCAAAAAAAAAACAGAAAAATTAAAACATGGGGATTCAATCCCAAATAACATTTGAGAGGATTGAGACAGGAGAGGACGAGAATAAATAAAATAAAAGTGGCCAAATAATTTTTTTTTTTTGTTTGGCCACGCTAATCAAATTGGTGAGTGCCATTAGTGGAGGGTTAAGCATGTCCTTTATTCATATCATGTAGTCTTGAGGGGGACCAACACACATAATCTATGTTGCTTTGCCCATACCCGCCCGGAATCATTATCATTATTAATTTCTTGAAAAAAATGGTAGATGTTATTTTTAATTTAAAAGGTATTGGGAAAAAAAGTACTCAGATAATTATAATTCCTGTGTTCGCGTTATGATTATCTGGATTCCATGATTTATGCACAAATTGTTGACATTTTCTTCTTCCAGAAAAACGAATCATAACTTTTTTTGGGACATCATTATTTGAATGTGATGTCACTTTTTTTTTTTTCCCCTCTGAACTGTATTCTTTTTCTTTTCGTCCCAGTTTAAGTTCATGTGGCACTCATGGGGTAAGTTTGCAATAACATTTTGAACTCATAATTTAATTTACTTTTATAATTCTGCTGAATTTTAAACATCTCAAACTAATTTTTTCAATTTCAAATTTGTCTCTCCGATTTCAAATATCTTAAAATAATTTGGGAAAATTATAATGAAGTTTCAAGGAATCAACAAGCCTAATAACAAGTGAACACTTATAAATTATTATCTTGCAACTCGTCGCTGCAGATTACTTTATTGTTACTGAAATTTTTTTAGTAATTATATTTCTTACACAATGATTTTTCCAAATAATTTTGATCCCACGCATTATTGGGCTGTTTGTTTTCAACTTTTTTTAATGACATCCTGATTAAAAAAAAGAACTTTTTTTAATGACAAAAATACTTATTTTAGTTGTATCAAAAAACAAAAAAAAACTTCTCTTTGAAAGACGGGCAGGTTCGGTCCTTTTTTTTTTTGCACAGGCATATTTGAGACATAAACGATCACTATATAGGCAGCTTCAATACGGTTTTTTCAAAAAAAGAAAAAACAAGACTTAAAACATAATTATCCTGTTTTAGCCAGATTCAATTAAGTAAAAGAAGAAAATAGTTTAAAATGGTTACTTTCAATTATAATCACATTCGAGAAATATTGCCGGCAAAGCAAAGCAGAATAAGACATAAATGATTGAGCAACATTAGTATTTTTCATTAATTATAAGATGGAAAAAAAACTTTTAAAAGGTGATTAGTCCCCCGTTCCCCATAAGAAAAAGGAGTACTAAATCCTCCTAATCATAATATAATTGCTAAAAAACAAACTAAGATTAAATTTCCGTAGCATCATACAAATAAAATCATTATTCCATTTTTCCAGCATGAAAACAGTATTAAATAAAAAAAACATAATCTCATTATTATAATCAATGATAAGACCCTTTTCAGTCTCACTTTAAAACTGAAAAAGTTTTTATTTTATTGTCAAAAATTAAAGCCACATGCATGGATAGACATGCTAAGTCATATAGATATTTGCATTTGCATATGCACAAGTTAAAAAATAAGTATATTTATATCATATTATTCATGGGTCATAAAGTAAATTCTATCGGCAAAAAAAATCAAAGTAAATTCTACCATCTATTGTTTAGACTTCACATAATACACTAGGCCCACAGAGCTTTAAGCTGACAAAGAAAACTAATTTAAAATTATTAATGGAATCATAAGACTAGAAATGCTTATTTTAACATAAGATAAAAGAAGAAGATGATGATGAAGAAGAATCAAGCTTTCCCCACAATTTTTGAGGAGAAGAAAGGATAATGTTCTAAGAATGTAGTTGAAGGAAAGCAAAGAACAATGTGCTTTTTATCAACATTGTCCTCTGCCATCAAAGAGAACCAAACCAGCCTTTTCTTTTTGTTTGTGATGCCATAAAGTTTACTCGCACCACCCTGCCGCATGAAAGATCCCATCCTTCTCACTATACCTACAAAGGAGGCTACCCACTAACTTATTCTCTCAAGGCCCCATCCCTCTCTTCTGCACTAAGTTACTGCTTCCAAACCAGGTTGCCTATACTTTATATTTACAGTGATATCAATTGTCAAATTTGGATCCCTCAATTTTGCTTTAATTTTTCAGATGAGAAAAGAGATGAAAATATAGGTGTAACCCCTCAACATGTCCTCTCTCACCCCATCTCTCTATCTTCAGTCTTGCATAGTAGAAAGTTTCTAATAAAATTATTGCTCGACTTTGGAGTCATCCCTGATTGGCACTTTCTTCACAGTGATTTCCTCGATCTCCTGTAAATTTCAGTGATTGCCCATCTAATCAGACGTGAAAAAAGCAAGTGCCTTTTTGACAAAACAGAGAAACTCCAAAAGAATTCACAGCATTGGATGGTGGAATAATGATCCAAATCTCTGGGTCTTCGCCGTTTATGAACACCATTCGGTTGAAGATTAAGAGGGTGTTTGGATAGAAACCAAACTATATGTAGAGGAGGTTACCTCGTTTTGCGGAAAAGTGATTCTGAAACCTAGGTTTTAATTTTGCCAAACACCTCTTAAACCTCGAAAAACTGCTAAATTTTTTTGTAAAGTGACATTAACAGAGGCCTTTCTCTTGCATGACGATGACATGCATGTATATTAGTAATATTAATGTTGGAGTTAATTTTTTTCCCCTCGCTTGAAAAAGTTGTATGCAAAATCACCTAATGATCACCAAATCAGTACATTGGAGCCATTTTTCCGCTCACGATAACACGTTCATTCGTACATAACAAAATCCCACGCCGTTTTTGTCAGAATTTCTTTACACCACCACCGAAACCTCCCACTTCCTTTTTATATATCAAAACAGTTCAACTTCCTTCTTGTCTTTTCTTCCTCTCTCTCTTTCTTCCTTGCGCCATTGGGCTTCCACTTTTCTCTGTTTCTCTATCATAAGGCTCTGCAATGGCTTCTTGTGGCGTTTTGCGCTCATTTTTTGCTCTTCTTCTTCTAGTTTGTCTTCAATGGCGTTTAGCTGCATCTTCTGCTTTGTTACACTTCAGAAACCACCCCCACAACCGCTCACACCACCACCACTACCACGGACACATGATTCAAGCCAACCAATCTTGTGCGTTGTTCGTGGGCACCTGGGTTCGTGATGAAACTTACCCGCTTTACCAATCTTCTGACTGTCCAATCATTGACCCGGAATTCAACTGTCAAATGTACGGTCGCCCAGATTCCGATTACCTCAAATACAGATGGAGGCCCCTTGATTGCGAGCTCCCAAGGTAAGAGGACAACGAGGAAAGCATAAATGAAGTTTCCTAGAACAGTACTGAACTATCTAATCATACTGCATTGTGCTAAAGTTGGTGCAGTCTTTTTTGTATTATGCTGCATAATAGTCTGGGTGGTTTCTGTAAAATTATCATGGTCGGTTCAATGGCGTTCAGTTCTTAGTTTTTTTTAACTGAATATGTACTGAATGGTTTGGTAGCATTTTTATGGTAGGTTCAATGGGATTGAGTTTTTGCTGAACATGAAGGGTAAAACTGTGATGTTTGTGGGAGACTCGCTGGGGCGCAACCAGTGGCAGTCATTAATTTGTATGATATATTCTGCAGTACCTCGTGCAAAAACGCAAATGGTCAGGGGAGATCCAATCTCAACCTTCAGATTCTTGGTGAGTCTGAAATTTCTGAACAATTACAACTTCACATTTCCCCAAAATGTTCATTCCCCGAAAGATTTAGGCCATGTTGTCTCTTACCATTTCTTCTCCGAGCTAAATTTACATTCAGACTCAATGGCGCAGTTTTGCAGAGGCTAAACACAGCTCATTCCTTTTCAAGATCTAGCCATAGTATTATTCGCCCTTCTCTAGTCGGCGAAATTTTGTTTCAGAAGGAAAATCAGTGAAATTACAAATGCCTGCAGCTTCCCAGCAGCTAAACAATTCTTTTCCTCTTTGTTCATCTTAATTCAAAAGCAGAGAGCTTGGGTCACTATATTTTGAAAGGGTGTTACAGAGGGGACCAAACCTACTGCCAGGCTTTACGTTGAAATAACAACACTCTTTGCTTGTAGAAAGTAGAATATGAAAAATTCACCTCAAAAAAAAAAAAAAAAAAAAGTAGACCATGAAAAAGTACCGCAAGACCAGGCAGTCCCTAATTGGGTTTTGTTATGGTACGTGCAGGACTATGAAGTGTCACTTTCATTCTACAGATCTCCATATCTGGTAAACGTTGATTTGATCGGAGGGAAGAGAATTCTAAGGCTGGATGAGGTAGATGGGAATGGTGAGGCATGGAGAAATGCTGATGTACTGTCCTTTAACACAGGACATTGGTGGACTCATCAAGGATCCCTTCAAGGGTAATAAACTTTATGGAATCGAATATGAAAATGGAAAAAAGGTTTGCCACGATTGATTTGAATATTTTACTATGAATTGAGTTCTTTTATCAAATAAGTGCAGATGGGATTATATAGAATTAAGCGGCAAATTCTATCCAGACATGGACCGTTTGGCAGCTTTAGAAAGAGGTCTCAAAACTTGGTCTAATTGGGCGGATGCTAATATTGATAGAAGCAGAACTAAAGTGTTCTTCCAGGCCATTTCTCCCACACATTACAAGTAGGCACTCTCTCTCTTGAAATTGCTTTTCCTCTTTTACATCCTGGCAGAAAGATTTTCATGCGGATCCTACTCATAAAAAATGCTATAACCGGAACAATTCATTGGGAAAATAAATGGTGATTTTTTAATATGTTTGTTCATTAGACCGAGACAATTCATCATTATCGTATTGATTGAAACTTGCTTGATTTTCGGGCTTCATAATTGTGAGTTTGTACAAGTGGAGAGGGAGCACCAAGCACTAGAAATTTGCCTACACGGGATGAGTTGTCTTTCGTTTGAGGGTAGGACCCCGCTTGGGCCCTGTTAGGTAACCTTCACTGCCTTCACATTTATGCAAGTCCTGGGTGTCTGTCGGTGCTTCAAGTGCTTTTGTTGCTAATTAGGAGTAAAATACATGAAGAGGGATGCTTTATGTTGCTAATTAGGAGTAAAATGCACAATAATAGAATTCTTGCTAGAGCTAAAAGTTGCATTTAGGCATTAATGTCAACATGTGTCAGTAGGTCCCAAGAAAAAGAAAATCAAAATAATTTCGCTGTCATAATTTATCATGTAATATTTTGAAGCGCTAAACAATCAGGTCTCAAAGCTAGTTTGTGATCCATGTCCATAATTTTTAACCTTTGAAAAATCTTGTAAAGGTGCTCTCCTTTGTCGTTCTCAAAGGCTTTTGAGGCGCACACAGAGCAATTTACACTTGCCAGACTTGTCCCGAATCCGTAATAAACTTGGAGAAAGCTTTTTTTTTTCTTTTTTCTTTTTTTTTAATTCCTTCTGGGGGCAGGATAATCACCGTAACGCATGCCTTCAAAAGAAGGGGGTTGAAATAAAATCGTTGTCGGTGGACCGACATCAAACACATGCATCTTTTCAAATAAGGGATCTTTCTGAATATGTTAAAAGACATAAGCAACGATTATCTCAACCCACCTATATGTGCACACATTTAATTGACAACTCATATGCAAGCTTGTGAGGGAAAAAATCTTCGATATATCACAACCTCAAAAATAATGCAAAAATTATATATAAAACTCCACCTCTTTTCATTGAAAGCCCACAATTGAATGTTACTATAAGATGATGGGGCAGGACAGCGAGATTGATGCATTTAGATGGTCTCTATCTGTAACATTATGCTGTTCGTTTTGTAGTTTAGAGTCTATATCCCCATCATTGAAAAGGCTTTAACATTGAGATAGGCATGGTCCTACTCGGGCTTCGACACTGTCATGAAGCCATAAAATATCTCATTATGTGGCCACAAAATTGTACGTGCTTATTTGTATTTCAATTCCAAAAGACCTGATCCCTCAGTCTCCAATAATCGTATTAAAACTGGAGGACACTAATGTGTGGCCTAGGGACTGGAATACATAGGGATATCAAGAAAGAAGGGTTAGTACTAATGAAATCCATCATTTAGCTGCCTATCTGCAATATAATCAGTTTACTCCAATCATCGAATCTGCTTTAAGAATCTTTTCAACTTATAAGATAAATCACGCTAAAACTGGAGGGGACTGGTTTGCAGCCCCAGGGAATGGAATGGGATAGGGACAACAGAAACAACAACGAAGAATTGCTACGGGGAAACAGCACCAATCCACAGCGCAGCATACCCAGGAGCATATCCAGAGCAAATGAGGATAGTGGAGATGGTGATTAGGGAAATGGCAAGACCTGCTTACATGCTTGACATTACAATGCTATCAGCTCTGAGGAAGGATGGCCATCCTTCCATTTATAGTGGTGATTTGAATGCTCAGCAGAGGGCTAACCCTGACTTCTCTGCAGATTGCAGCCATTGGTGCCTTCCTGGCTTGCCTGATACATGGAATCAACTCTTCTATACCGCCCTGTTCTTCTTCTAGTTGTGTTCTTTTTCTGTAATGTTTTATTAGGTGCTGATAATTCTTATTTGAGGGTTGAGTAATTGCAACTCCTCATAAAGTACCGCTAATGAAGAGAAAACAAAGTTTTCTTTGTTGTTTATTGATGTAAAACGATAGATTACAAAAAATAATTTGCTAGGCCATCAATAACAAAACCAACGAACACTGTACTTCAAAACTAGCTGATTCACTTTCTTGTCCGAGATCAGAACATGGCTGCAATGAGAGCTTGAACTTGATCAAGCCAAACTTTTTTTTCCCCTTTCAAGTGTTCTTTTTTCTTTTACTACAAGAATATGCTTAGGAAATTGTTTATTAATAATATACAGTATTAAAGTATTCGGGCCTGCATATGCCAGTGCCACTCAGATTTGGATAAACTTGAACAATGGGCTTTACAATGTGAAAATATACATCCAGTAGCAGGTCACAAACTCACAATAAACCGATAACTGAAACAGAGAACTTAACTTGGAATCGGAAACCCAATATATTGCAATAAAGTTCAGATCACAGTATTTAAAACAATACAAGATGAGGCTACCACAACACTACAACAACACCATCAGGTAGAAGGCCTTTGATCTATATAAATATATATATACTGCCTGGATTATTTATACAGCAGGCAAAAGCTTCTTCATTGTACGCTTCTTCTGAAAATCCCGCAACTGTCTATCCCTTTTTAACTGCATCAGCTGTGGATTGCAACTCCAAGAGGATTAATTTCCATTTTAGGGATAATCTTCTCTGGCCCTGCAGTTTTAGTGGGGACTGAGTTAACCTCCTTGTCATCATAAGCAGAGAGATGCACTCCAAGTGCTGCTCTTCCAGAAGGATCAAGGTTGTTTGACCAGGCAGCATCCCACTCTATTGCTTTCTCTGTGCTGCATGCAATACTAGCTCCTCCAGGAACAGTGAGCCGAGCAGAGTTCTGCAAGACCATAGTCACAGAAAAACAATTAGAAACTAGTAATTATAAATTTCCTTTAGTATTTGCTGTCAGGCTCTGTAACACAAAATATCCATTTGTCATGTTTTTGTCAGAGAACCCCCCCCCCCCAAAAAAAAAAAACCGCTCGTTTAAGATTTGATCGATTGTATTACCTGTGGGAAGAACCTCTCGAATATCATCCTGTAGTAATATGCTTCCTTTGTGGAAGGGGTGTTGTGAGGAAATATGTTTGCAGCATTAAGCATCATTTTATCAGTCACCTGGAATGTGAACAACCAATTTGTAAGATCCAGAAATCATATATAACAGCAGGGAACAAGGAATTATTTTGGAGATATGCTTTCCGTGTTCATATTTACATGTTTTGCAGCATGGTCTCGGAGGCCATCGATCCAACCATAGCCAACTCCATCACTAAATTGTTCCTTCTGCCTATACAATATGTGCTGCGCAAAATTAAAAAGCTCAGATTTTAGTTTCATCAATTAATACATGAACTTGAGAAATCGCAGAAAACTGCGTAATACCTTTGGCAGATAGGGTTGCTCCTCATCGTCAAATGCTCTCCTGAGGACCCATTTCTCAATCCTCCCTTCCTCTGGTTTTGGCTGCATAGATTAAACTGTAAGCTCAAAGAAAGATTTACAATACTTTTTATTAATAAAACAAAATCTGATGCTTTGTTCACACCATTTTGTACTGAGGATCAATGTTCATGGCGACATTGATGAAATCTTTATCTAAAAATGGTACTCGAGCTTCAAGACCCCAAGCAGAAGTTGCTTTGTTGGCTCGTAAGCAATCATATTTGTGAAGTGCCTTGATCTGCACATGTCCAAAAATAAAAATTGAAAAATTGAAAATGGGGGAAATCTATCATGACTTTTTAAGTGAATTCTTTATGTTGAGCGGGCAAGGATCATAATAGTAATTGTAATAATAATAATAAATCTGTGACCTTTCTGCAAGTTTCCTGGTGGAACTCATCTTTATTGGGGGCCTTATGAAAATACAGATACCCCCCAAAGATCTCATCAGATCCTTCTCCAGACATAACCATCTTCACTCCTAGTGACTTTATCTTCCTTGACATCAGAAACATGGGTGTGCTGGCTCTTATTGTGGTTACGTCGTAGGTTTCTATGTGGTAAATAACGTCTTCTATTGCATCCAGGCCGTCCTAAATACACAGTACAAATATGCTTCAGTCCTACTTGAAATTGAAGGGTATAAAAAAAGAGCATTATTCTAACCTGAATTGTATAGTGGAACTCATGGTGGACCGTTCCTAGAAAGTCAGCAACTTCTCTTGCAGCCCTCAGATCGGGTGCACCCTGTATCATAATTTAACAGAGAGGATTCTCGCCATATTAATATCATTAATATCTGAAACATACTACAAGAAGTCTCCTATTTTTTCCTCTAATCTAACAGACTGTAACTCACCTCAAGACCTACACAGAAAGAGTGTAATTTCGTTCCCCACTGTTTAGCAGCCTTGGTGTCAGCAAGGTAACGAGCAGTAATGGAGGCAACCAATGAAGAGTCTAAGCCTCCAGATAGTAACACACCAAAAGGAACATCTGTCATCAACCTTTTAATCACAGCCTGTTTGAAGTCACAACCATTAACTGCATGATCAGTATATGAATCAAAGGTTTCCACATAAAAGGAATTAAATCTGTGCCACTTTCTCCGACATGTATGAACAGTGTCTGAATTATGCTACTTGATTGATTCTGGCACTAAACCTTTTCGAATGCGTGTCTGAGAGCAAGAGGATCATAAGGAGTAGAAGGAGTGGACTCAGAGAACCATGGAGGATTGTACCATCTTCTGAATCCTCTTTCTTTGCTGGAGTACAAATGACCAGGAGGGAACCACTCAAAGTGTTCACAGTCATCATTCAGGCCTTTCAACTCCGATGAAATCCAAATTGACCCTGATGAATTAAATAACCAAAAAACATTAATTGCTTGGAGATTGTTAATATAATTATTACTAATTAGACCATGGAAGGCGTATTATTACCATCTAATCCCCAACCGATGTAAAGGGAAGTGACCCCAATAGCATCTCTAGCAACTATGAAGCTGTTGTCGCGCGTGTCGAGGAGCACGAAGGAGAATATCCCATCGAGCATGTCCACGAAGTCCTCTCCGTATTCCTCGTACTATGTATTAATTAAAACCATTAATGATTCATTTAAATCCACCACAAAAACGACAACTGCTTCTGCATAAAGAAGGAAGTATTGAACGAAAGTTGTAAGTGGAAAAAGGACTACATGACTAACCAGATGTGCAATAACATCACAATCACTGCCAGTTCGGAACTTGTGGTTGGACAGTTTTTTCCTGAGCTCTTCATGGTTGTAAATCTCTCCGTTTACCTGTGTTTAGAAGATCGTATTTTTCATAACCAGCTTAAGAAAGTAATATAAATATGTGAATCTATATGTGTATGAGATGAGAGCCACAGTGGACGAGAGGGAAGAATATCTGAAGCGGCTGTTATGCACAAGACTCCAAATTTCTGCCTATGAGAATTATTGAAGGAGTACCGTGACGACGACGGATTTGTCTTCATTGAAGAGAGGTTGATCCCCAGAAGCAGGATCAACTATGGCTAGCCGTTGATGAGACAGATAGCAGTCACCATGTTGATGCAAGCCACTCCAGTCTGGACCACGGTGCTTCAATCTGCAGCGGACGACTCACAATAAGCATATTTCAACAATATTATACTATTCCATGGTATATAATAAGTGGACCCCCCACATCCCCCGCGCTTGTTCATATCTCAAAGTTACTCTTCTGATTATATTATTAATATATAGTACTTGCCCTTTTGACAAAGTCTTCAATGGTTATCTCTATCTATCTATAATAGATGTTAAATCTGTGACCGAATATATTTATCTTCAATGTAAAGCAGTAACTAGCTGGCTACAAGCCTGCAACTATAATATTGTGGACTGAGCTGCCTCCTTTCCTCTAAACAATTAGAATATGAAAGGAGAGAGCAGACAACATGACAGTTAAAACGAGGAAAGTCGATTATATGGCCACGGTCCCACGTAATTTATATATTCTTCATCCATCAATTCTGCATATACTAGTAGTAATATATAACACGGCATGCTTGCCTCTCGTCTATCAAATTATATATATATTGATTATACTATTAACAACAAAAACAATACACTTATATATATATATATGTTATGATATGATCGAGAAACTTAAAAACAAACCACAGGTTGATGTTACATAGCAGTTTATGGTATGATGTTTTGGCAAAACAAGATGAGGTACAGAAAAGGAAATGAAATGAAAATAGCAAATAGAAGAGAAAAGAGGGAGACTTTGGATTGATGATGGAGGTTAAGAAAAGACAAAGGATGAGAAGGAAGATGAAATTGCCTGCGAGAGAGCTCCAAGACGCGGACTCTCTTGGCTTGAGAGTCATCGGAGCAGCCGAGCACAGCAAGTATTCCACACATTGTGACAGCAAATTAACGAGAGGATGAAAGAAAAACTAGAAAAAGGAGGAAGAGAAAGAAAGGTGTGAGAAAGTAGAGAGAGAAAGTAAGTGAAAGGATAACGAGGGGAAAAGAGAAGAGAATTAGACGGAGAGTGGGAAGTGGAGAGGTAACTAGGAGAGAGGAAAGAACACCACGTAAGAGATGCTTGGGTTGAAGGAGTAAAGTACCCCTTGCACCTGGCACCTATTTATATGCACGTCCATCCTCCATGCTTACGCCATCAAACGTTGTCGTTTTTCTCCACGCTTACCGGTTACCGCCTCGTTCCGCACCCTCCCTCGCCGGGACCACCGCCTCCTTGGTCTTCTATTGCTCCCCGCGGCACCCCACCCTTCCTTCTTCCCATATCTCGTAAATAATTGAAGCTCCCTGAGACTCTGTCCCAAGTACGGTGACATTTATCCGCGGCCCAAATTTAGTTTTACCTTTTCAAAGTTAAGAATAATTAAATGAGGCGCTACGTCAGCCTGTTTTCATTTGTCAGAACTAGCATCAGTACAATCTTTAAGTTATTAATATAAAATTAATTAATTAATTAAATTAGTTATTTATAATAAATATATATTATTTTTTAAAATATTCTTATTAATCAATTATATTAATTAAAATTACTATTATTATAAGAATATATTAAATAAATAAATATAAAAGATAAGATAAATTAATATTTGATATTTAAAATTAAAATAAAAATTAAATAAGTTTTTATATTAAACATTGAAGATACTGTCAAACACGGGAGGTAGCATTATTATTACTGCCGAGGATTAAAAAAAAAGTCAAAGCGATTCTCTGTATATTTCAACGAATCTACGTGGCAGTATCTTGTGCGGCTCCCCACTCCTTCTCCACGTGGCCGTGATCTGTAACTTCTTTGTCACATATTATCGGAATGGATTAAGCCCTTTTTTAAAAAAAAAAAAAGCAAAGAAAAAAATGATTAATCCATTCTACGCCTGATCACCCGGTGTCATTGAAATAAGTTTTGAATTTTGCAGATTTGCCTCCAAAAGTAAAACAATAACACGGTGGATGCGCGTGTTATTTTTGACTTTGTAATATCGCGGAGATTCAGGCTGTAATATAATATTAGAAGTGAATTACTGCTATATATTTTGGTTGTGAAAAATTAAATCTATGAATTGAGTAAACTATATTGACTAAGAACAATAACAGTGTTATCCAGTCAATCTCGAATAAGATCGTGAATCCAATTATCCACGTAATAATTTAATTATTTATTAAACTAATTACGTGACCCTACTTTGAAGTCCTAAACTCTTAATCACCTCTTCATCAGTATTAGTCACTATGAATACGATGCCTTGTCTAATCAGTTATTTTTTCAACTCACACACCATCTTTTTATATTTTAGTATAATGAATGTGACATCGCATGGGCTCTGATTTAATATTTTTTATATTTAAAACAAAAGAATTAAGTGCAATACACAAAAGTGTTTCGTGGATCGTAGCTTTTATGACGGGGATGAGGGTCAGAATATTTATATTCATATGCGTGTAAGATATTTCATCATTCCTTTATTTTAGAATCAAAAATAAATTATTTACCTCTTGGTGCCAACTTGGGGTATATTATATTTATTGCAGTTCTAACAAAAGTGGAGGCTGAATTCGCATCATAGTTTAATTATCAATGAGTCCTTTTCTACAAATAATATTCTGAAATTGCCCTGCTATTTTTAAAGTCTTGTTTATATATTGTTCATGAATCCCTTTTTCTGTACTGCTATTTTTTTTCTTCAGAAAAGGGACTGTTTGCTTAATCATGTATATCAACATGCACATTCATACATATATATTCCCTTTTCCGATTCTGAAAATATCAGAAGGAGCCCATAAATCTATACACTGTAGTCTAATGATCTTTTGTGTGTGACTCATCAACTTGGAAATGTTTGTGCAGTTCATTGTATATTTGCCGCGTTCGCATGTATTGATCGGCGGACAAGGAGGCTTAGCCAATCAAACGCAGCTTCTTGGTTCAGAAGAAAAGGAAAAAAAAAAAAAAGAAATTGTGAGTTTCTGAGAGATAAAAACAAAGTTGATTAACCCACGAAACCAAGAAAAATAGCTTATCGCCATCCGCCGGTCCTTTTCATGGATACTTCAAGTTGCATATAATACAATCTCACATCAAAATTCTCACCCACTTATCCTTTTGTTAACCTGAGCTTACATGTACAAGCTTTGGAAACTTCAACTCTACACACACATATATACTCTTCCGGTACTTAATATAGGACCCAATTGTTGAGTTGGTTTTGCTTCTAAATATAAGACTCATTTCTCATATTTATCAATTTTATCTAAATTACTCATATGGACACTCCCTTAACCATAATCAAGTAGAAGAGGAAGAGTGGGTATTAAGACAGATGATTATGATGTTTTAGAAAAAATATATTACATTTCTTATAATTAACTAACTTATCTAACTTCCTTAATTCAATCAAATTAGTTAAATTGGTCTTATATTAAGGGTTGGAGGAGCATTAATTTTTAGTGAGATGCTCTTAGCCGTAACCTCATCATGTCAATATTGGCTTAGCAAATAGTAGTTCAACGTTAATAGGTGTCATTTTCATGTCTTGGTCATAGTTAAATGGATCCTGCTGCTTAAAAAATGTTATAGGGTTAGAAGTAGATATGATTCCCTTCTAAATTGACAGCCTAGGATTAATAAGGCCACCGAACTACGACAAAGCTTTTGTAATTGTTTATCTTTTGCGTTAAAAACATCGCAGAGGGGAGAAAAAAGAAAACGCTAAAACATATTATATCATATCTACACGCACCACCTTGTTATCGTTAGGGAAAAAACAAGCAACTTGCTTTTGAGCGTGCTTTTTGTTATTTTAGTGTTTGATGGGGCCGAGAATGACGCATGCATGCTTCATTATTTTCACTGATTACGGGTCACTTATGTATAATGTATGGTTCAAAATAAACATGGAATGTGCTCGCTCTAATATAAGGTTAGATTGAGTTTGGTTCGAGTATCCAAAGATAATTATAATAATGACCGCAAAAAAATATTAGTTTAATTATTTGGATTGGAAACATAAAAAAGCATCAACGTGATTCACAAAGTTAATTTTTTTAGTAGTTTTTTCTTCCCGAAGCATTAATTTATTTTGGACCTTTTTTATTAATTATTTTCCATTCCAAGAAAAAAACGTATATCTTAGAAAAAATTTGTAGAAAAGATTCTTTAGATACAAAAGGAATGTAATGTTTGCCATGCCAAAAAGGTTTCTTTTTTTTCTTTTAGGGGTGGGGGGACGGGGGGGAAGAGAGAGAGAGAGAGAGAGAGAGAGAGATTATTACCTTGTATTATAAGGTAATAATAAGGCAACTTACTTTTCCTCTTGGTTTTTTTAAAAAAGTACCTGTCCTCATACGAAAAATTGTTTAATGAAATGGTTTACTAATTGAGAATGACATGTATCCGTAGTTAAGCAAGTGTGGTTTTTGTTTTACAACCCGCTACTATAATTAAAACGCGCACACGCACGCAATGAATTGATGATAAATTAAATTTAATACTAATTCCTAATTATAAAAGTTAGTTAATTAATTTGAGGGTATTGAGAAAATAAGTTAAGTTAGTTATTTGTAATAAATAGATGTTGTCTTTCATAAAATATCCTTACTAATCAAGTACATTGATTAGAACTATCATTGTTATAAAGACTATCTTGGAAAAAAAAATACAAATATGAGAGATAAGGTGGATTGAGATCTTATATTTAGAATCAAAATAAAAGTTAAACAATGTCTTATATTAGGGACCAGAGGTAGTACTCCTCTGGTCCTATTTATAAGGCACTTCCAACATGTTTCACACAGACCAAGGAAAACCTTAAACTGCATTAATTCTCCATTAAAATATAGCAATTTTCCAACTTTACCCCTATTTAATATATACTCCTTTCAAAAAAGATAACTACTTACACTATAATAAATGAAAGACAAAGTAGTACATTCACACTGTAAATTTAATGAAGTGACTTATAAATAAGACAAACAAAAAACCTTCTCTCTCTGCCCTATAAATAGGACCAGAGGAGTACTAGCTAGCGTGGCTGGAGAAAAACTAATGATGAGATAATTCAGGAAAAAAAAAAGTAGTTTATGCGCTTTATTAATTACGCACTTAGTTCTTCTCAACAGTTCTGAACTTTCGTGTGTCTATACATACATATATACCTACACATGTTCATATGAAAGTTGTTCTGAGTATAAATATGGTTATTTACTTGATTTGTCCCTTAATAAAAATATAATTGCAGATGAGAGGGCAAAACGAAAAAACCCACAGGCGGTTAGGCTTTTAAACATGCGTTATGGCAATCGAATCTGTGGGTGTTATTAGTTAGAATGACTTTTGGCTATCTAAAAGGCCATTGTTTTAAGTTGATCGACAAGGAAACAGAGCCAGTTATACAGGTACATTGATTTAGTGCATCAACCCCACTAACACGTTGGGTTACCAAAATAATGACGGCATATTTTCACTTTGAAAGTTGAGGAAAAAAATCACTTTTTTTTTAAAAAATTGTTACCAACATAAATATTAATTCTTAAATATTAAGTTTTATGTTACTCGGCCTCTTCTAAAGTTTTATATATGTAGCTAAAACATTATTTATGTATATAATAATAAATTCATTCTTCATGCACTTGAGTATATAGTATCGCATAGATATTTAAGCACAGCAAGTAGTCCAGATTTGTTACTTTGTTTTGGAGTGTCGAACATAATTTGTCGAGGGATATCAAAATAAATAAATAAATACAATGAGTAGTAGTATGTTATAGTTTTTTACGAAGACTTTAATTAATAGTATAATGTGTCTTTTTAAGAATGATGAATAATATAGTATTACTTTTTAGCCTCTGATCCCCTCTCTTTTATACAAGAGATATATTTTTTATTGCTTCTACTATATATATATATATATATATATATATGTATATATGTATTTATATAGCAGCATGACACATCCGAAACTATTGAGTTAATTAGAATTGAGTATTATCAAATTCAATTGAAGACAGCTCTCTCAACAGCATTTTCTCCGTTCATGGCAACAGGTGTTTAGTTATACTAGAAAGAGATATGATTATTTAAGCATGCAAACTTTATTTTTACTCCTTTAATTATACTCTCCTACTTCCTAGTAGTTCCTACCATTGTAAAACATATAATTTAGTAATAAAAAAAACATCATTTGTTAGGTAAGCTTTGCCATAAAGTGAAAAAGACTATAAATTTTAATAAGCACATAGAATAATATAAAAATATTATTTTAAATTAAGGATAATAAATATAATCTCAGTATCTAATAATATATTCAACATCTACCTGATATAAGATCATACATCAAGATAAGAATATTTATTTTGATCTTATTAATGTTGCAAGTCACATTATAAGGCATTATCCAGTTTTACCCTGCTCAAAGGTATTGCATGGATCGAATAAATATAAACAATAATACAGTAATTGATATTAACAACTAATAGAAGATGACATCAAAATGTTTCTGAAATCCCATCACGATTCATGTACGTCTTAGTCTATGGTGTACTCTATAGAGCAAGAGTCTTGGATCAATGAGCTGGAACGAATTTATTTATTTCGCAATGGCCGCAAATATATTAATCTGACTTTTAATGCTTCCATAGAGTTACGTTGTTCCCGTTTTGTATCCTTCTCTTCATCCCATTAATTAACATATCAGTCTCTCCCTTTTTTTCCAAAAAAAAAAAGCCTCATTTGAGAAGAGGATGAAAAATCCATTAAGTTAAACATAAGAGATATGAGTATATCTTCTTTTTTGTGTGTAGATAATGCATAATTATTTTTATTAAATTTTATAAATGACTAATAAGTGTAGTCTTATAACTATGATCGAATGAAGTAATATATTATTGATGGCGAAAAGAAAAAAAGAAGCAATATATTATTATTATTATTATTATTATTTGGTGATACATGCGTCTTTTGGTATCTCCGTTAGGTCGCTTCTCTTTGTTTATATATTTTCGTTGTTTCCTAATCACCTTCAGCTTCATCAATGACGACCTTGCCTGTTTATTTAATTAGTTCATTCACTAGCTTTTCCCTTGTCTTCTTATCACGATATAATCTCAAAACAATGCTATTTTAATTCACTTTAATTATTTATATCCAAATTGATGTCAACTATATAAGGATGTCGGGTGTGAATTAACAAGCATTTTGTTAGGTTCAAGGAATCTACATATATTGTACAAAGAGAATAACAACGAAAAGCTTCTTAGTCATTAAACAACTCTTTTTAAATTTGAAATCAAAATAATGTTCGAATCTGAAAAGTTTTATTTCCTAAATTGAATATGCGATTAGATTCTAAGGCCCGAATAACACTAACGAAGAATTAAGAAACTAATACACATGGGACCGGCCGTGAATCGTTGTCTTCGTGTATATTAAGTTTACAAATTGTGGGGCTCCATATTTAATACTCTCCCGGTTCTTAATATAAAACCTAATTAGAGAGTTTATATTGGTATGATGGTCTCCTATATATAAGACTTATTTCATATGTTTACCAATTTTTTTCAAATTAAGTTTATTAATATTCTCCAACAATAATCAAATAAGAAAGGGAGGAAAGGAATTAAGTAAAATACTTAAAGCATTTTAAGAAAAACATATCATATTAACTAATTTAATTAATATTCTTAATATATTCAAATTAGCTAGTTAAGTCCTATGTTAAAGACTAAAGGAATAACAACTTGAGCAACAGTAATAATCATTGTACGTCACAATTATATATTTAATAACAAGTTGAGTAATAACAATAATCATCCCTCGTAATATAACGATATAAACATCAAGCTTTATAATTATACATACTCAATAGCTAGTTAGCAACTAGACATTTACTTAGCACATTAGACATTTGTGACAGAAGGTTATTCACCTTTTTTTAGGCCAGCCAACCGGAGAAGATTTCATCCGTGAGGAGAAAGATAATGGCCAGTTTATTTACGTATACATATATAAATCAAACAAGTCACATTAGGCTTTTGCTGTGGCTATGGTGGAAGCAATGGAAATGGATGACTTCTGATTGAAAAGATGACATACATTTTCGTTGAAAATATCAATTTAGAAAGGAAATTTAATCAAGAATCATTTGTGATTTGGATTTTCAAGAAAAAGCAAACTCATTGTTAGTTGCTAACTGTGTAACTAAGTGCCATTCAAATTAGGTTTTGAGTGTGTAAACCATCTATTCTTGTGAAGCGACTGATGAATGGGAATTATACTACTGAAGGATTAATAGCAAGAGGTGTTTAGTTTTGTTGTTTGTTTGTTTCAAAGTTGTTTTGTACTATCTCCGGTTTTAATTATAAGATTTTGTCTACAGACTATAGATGATAAAATCTCATTTGTAGACTATAAATGAGGTTTTATAATTAGGATCGAAAGTAGTATATTCGAATGTTGCTGGATAAATTATGCAATTTAGAAATGTCCTTTTGCGCAGAAGAAGCATTAATATTAATATTAAATGAATCATGCAACTATGTTTCCAAAGAAGCAAATAAATATGCTGATTGGCATTGGCTTGCCGCTATGTTAAACCCGGCAATTTGAATATTAAGCACTCGATGACTCGCCTTTATACGATTTAATTATTGCTATTGTTGAATTCGTTTCAACTTATATTTTTATCCTTTTCAGCTCTCCTATAAAAAAATCTGGCTTTTTTTGGGGTGATATCCGGCTTTTTTTCTAGCAGCTTCCAAATCTACTTTTCTTTTCTTTTCTGGGTCAAAAATTCTACGTTTCACATTTGTATTTTAGATAGACATCAAAGATTGTTGGTCAAAAATAAAAAAGATAGATAAGGAGTGTTATTGGTTGGGCCTGCGTGAGACATGGCTCCACGTATACACATTCTATAGAATGGAAAAAGGCTAATATCTTATAATCAAACTCGAATCCTGTTCATGAGGCGACCCAGCCTCCAAGACTAGTTTATGAAGTCTTTGACCGATCAAATTATAAGATCTGCTGAGTTGCGTAAATAGCTTATTATGTAATCTCTTAGTAGTTTCTTTTTCTTTCTTTTCTTTTATTCCCCCTGTAAGTTTGCTGTTATTTTTCAATAAATTGCTTTTCACTAAAAAAAAACTCAAATCCTGTTGAGATAGGTTCATATTTAGCATCTGAAAATATTTTAAATAACATTACCTCAAATAAAAAAATGTCTAGGAAAAATAAATAAATAGTTGACATTGAAACTTTATCTCTTCGTCCTCTTTTTTTTTGGGGGGGGAGGGGACCTTCTCTCCCATCTTTGTTGTACTTTATGCTTTTGGCATCTTCTTTCTTTTCAACAGGAAGAAGCAATTATTGGTTCTTCTACAACCCCCAAATTACTGGATTTGGATTCTCTCCACTTCTTCTCCCATTCTCTTCACTTCCATTACATTTTTTTGCCCTTCACAACTATTGAATCAAAACTTCAATAGTCAGATTTAATATTTTATAACATTTTATAGAAATAAATATAATTATAAAAATAGATAAATAAATTTAAACTGTTAAAATCTAATTTGAACAGCTCATATCTACAGATTGTTATTACAGAGCAAATTTTTTTTAACTTTTTTTAATTATAGTTGTTAACTGTTTAGACCTGATTTTAACAGTTTAAATTTATTTATTTTGTTTAATAATATTTTTATAAGATGTTAAATCTGGACTATTGAAATTTTAATCTTATGGTTGTGAGGGGAAAAAAAAAGAAAGCAGTGGAGGGGAAGAGGATGGGAGGAAAAGCGGAAAGAATCCAAGTCCCAAATTACTGACCATTGTGAATGGATATTCGTAGGGAAGAGTGACAATAATAGCGTCCCCGCTATGATAGCCACGAGGCGCCCTTTACTCTGTAAGTTAAAAAAAAATTAAATTACGAGGTGTGTGAACAAGAATAGAAAATTAATGCCAGGTAAGTACGAAGAGAATAATGTAACTATGCTTTTCCAGATAATGTTTAGAATAATAGATATGGGATGGGAATGACAGCAAACGAAGCTGAAAAAAAACTCAAATATTCCGAATTTTTTCCCTTGATCTCAGAGCCTTAGAAGTTAGAACTCAGCAAGCTGTTAGTTATTCTTTGCAATATATAATTTGAAATCTGTATATAAATGCATTATTTACAAGTTGCAATTTATAAACAATATATAATTTATCTTGACTATTATGCAAAACTAAGCTTCACTGACGAATTAGTTTGTGTGCTAATTTACGGCAACTAAATAAAAACGATATATTACTATTATGTTGATTTTTTTCTGAGCGTTTTCGGGAGCCAATGGTGCATCTGGCATGTGGATGAAAAGATGCTTCGCCAGATATATTAACCCTCTTTATGTCAAAAAAAAGGAGGCTTAAATGATAATTATTAAACGAACCAATAATAATAAGCGATTTAAATTAATTTGTCGAACTCAAATTAAAATATTTATTAGCCAAATGGACATGGGTGTCGTCATTTATAGAAACATGAACTCGGAATTGGCATCTGTACGCTAAACAAATTTTGAACGTCAAATTAAAATAACAAAAAAGAAAAGCACAATATTTACTATTTTCTTCCTACCAAGTAGGACTAATCAACAGTTTGACAATAAGCGTTTCCAGACTCAGAAATGTAGCATGCGGCGACACGATGAAGTGGCGTGCGTGGAATAATACTACTATAATATGTAAAACTATGTATACATTTACACAGAGAAATAAATAAATAAATAATTTTGTAACACACATAAATGTACATATTTAATGACTAAAGTATACATTTGGTCTTTTAACTCTGTATAAAGTTTTAATTTGATCTTTTAACTTTAAAAAGCATATATTTGATTCTTAAACTCCAAAATCATTAGGATTCGATGATTGTTTTTCGTAACAATTATGAATGTT